GAGGGAGATAAATTCGTAAATGCATCCTACCTGTTCGGCTGACTTAGAATCCCAATGACCCACCAAGACCAAGCGCTGTGTGGCCAAGAGGCCGACTCCTGCTCACATGGCTGGTTAAATACCCAAACAGAGAACATGGCTGCTTAACTCCACCCTCAGGTCCTCGCAACCCTCCCTTTGGTGATCATGGGATTTGTAGTTCCCAGTGTATTGATGGAGTGGGAGTGGAGTCCACAAAGCCTGTATGGAGTTTGCTCAGGACATCCTTTTCTCCTAACAATTTCACCAAAACGGCTGAACCTCACAATGTCTGACTGAAGAGAGCAGGTACAAAGCGGCACATGCTGCCCAATGCCATCTACACAAAGTTATAAACACGAGTTTACAAGCATTGCTAGGAAGTAACAAATGTGCACCACATGCCCAGTATCATTCCAGTGACGTGTACATGTTTTAACTCAGTTCTCACAACTCTATAATTAGATGAACTAATAAACGCCAAATGTGCCAAAGCAGTGACAGAGTTTGAGTAATGTGCTCCGGGCCACAGAGCAACCGGGTGCCAGGGCCTGGACGTGGCGCCCATGTGCTGGAAAGCCGCATTCACACAGACACTCTGGGACACTAAGGGGAGGCTCGGGACCTGCGCCCAGAGCAATGGGGGAGGAAGGTGAAGTCTCCATTCTCCAAAGACCACCGAGTGCCTCACGCTGGGGCGGGAACGAGGGGGGCAGAGAACGAGCAGTGTGGGCCTGCAGGAAGAAACAGGCAGGCCAGGCGCCGGTCAACAGTGGTGGCCTCACGGGGCACAGTGGACCAGGGACCGTTAACCTTGATACATAAGCCTGGGAACACTTTTCCGTGTTTTGAAAACCACATACAAATTATTTTGAGAAAAATAATTTTAAGACATTAAATTTTTTTTTAAAATATTTTGAAAGAATAGGAACTACCCTGTATTGAGCCCTAGTCTCCCTGACACTGTGTTAAGCATTTTAATCACATTATTTCCTGAAATTTTCCTGACGATGTGGAGCTGCCCTGCCTGGCACTGGTGATGAGGGGACAGGATGGAGCGAACGAGCTGGTAGGAGGCAAAATCTGTATCTGTACCGCCGCTGGGGAGATGAACAGCCAGGAGCCAACAACCACGATGGGGACAAAGGGCTGCTGAGGAGGGCTGGACAGGGGCTAGCAACTCCACTGGACCAGGGAGAGGAGGGCCAGAGGGATGTGAGAAGGGTGGCAGGCTGCTGGCCCGAGAAACTGAGGGCGTTCCAGTTCGCGGCTTTCCCTCAGGGTCTGTGGAAGGGCAGCCAAGGTCGTTTCTGGGGGCGCTCAGGAGCTCAGTCGCCACACACAGAGTCCCAGGAGCCCTCCCAGGTATAGGTCTTGCTGTTCACGGAATCCACGGATCAGGAGCTTGGTGAGAACCTGGCGCTAGAGGTGGGGACTTACATACAATTGATGAGTCTTTTTACCCAGCACACTTGAGGACTAGGGTGTGCGCCCACTGGTGCCCACGGCTCACTGCAGTGGGGACTGGGCGGGGGCCAAGTGTGCTCCAGAGTACGAGTGCTGTGGGGGTAGGGCCACAGGTATGCTGTCCCTGCTCTAAATGCCTCCTGAGGCCACGCGTGACTGGAGCCAAGCGCAGACAACATGGAAGAGAATAAAGCTGGTACAAGCATAAAAGGGAAGTCAAGGGGTAAGGAACCAGATGGAGACTGAAGGCAAGTGCCAAGAGGCGAGCGAAGGGGCGTCAGGTGCGGGAAGGCAGGACACGGGGCCGTGCTCACCCGAGAGCCCACGGTTCCACCTGCGCCGCTCCCCTGCTTACGCTCTTGCCTGGCCCGTCTGCACTGGCGCTTGCAGCTTCCAGAGGGGCTAACAGGATACATGAGTCTTGACACGCAAACAGGAACTCCCCAGGGGACAAGGACGAGAAAGGCCTCCTACACGAGTGAAGCTCCCAGGACGGGGAGCGGGTGGACGTGCTGCGGGGAAGGAGTGAGACTGGAGCAGGGCAGGCTGGAGGGAGCAGGGCGAGAGGAGGCAGATTCAGACCGGAAAGGTCTTCTCTGCCATGGGCTTCCGCAAGGCGGCAGGCTCATCTTTAGAGCTCCAGCCGCAGCACCAGGACCTGATTAAAGTGGGGGGAAGGCAGCAGGGTGATCGGCTATGAAACTGATGGCAACAGACGGGCAAGCCAGGGTGAGGCTTAGAGCTATGGGGTGGGGAGGAAGAGGGCCCTAGTCGCAGGGACTGGGCAGAATGGATGCCATCAGGGCTGAGGGAGTGGGGCAGGAGGTGGAGAGGGTGTAATGACAAGTGGCAGGTAGTCATCACGGGAGCACCAACCGCCGACACCGCACACTTCCTGTGCACATCCTTGTCGCCGATCCTCCCAGCAGCCCCAGGAGGAGAGTGCACCCAAGAGCTCCCCCGCCCAGGGGCTCAGTCATCTCTCAGGCAGCAGACGGTCAAGGCCTTGAGTTAAGTCCATGCGTGTATCCCTCCCCCTACCATAACACCTGAACCTTCAGGGAAGATGACGAGTACGGAAGCAGGAGGGACTTAGGGCCAAGTAGGGAGAAACACGAGCTCTGCCAGGCAGGTGGTCTAAATCACAGGCTGGAAACCTGCATCTGGCCCTGAGGAGAAAGGCTGGAGAACTGGCTGAGTCTCCCGTCCCTGGGTCCAGTTGGGCTGCGGGAGGGAAGACAGGACACGGAGCTAAGACACAGCTTGGTGAGGACACGCAGTTGAACAGGGAGGCCAGGAGAGATCAGTGAGACAGTATGGTCACCAACATGAGTGTGTGAGGGAAGATGACGGCGTCTGCTAAGTGGGGTCAGAGCCTGCCCTGATCTCCAGGCCGTGGTCCTACTGCCTGACCAGGCACCTGGGCACCCTCCCACTTTGCTCTCGGTCCTCCATACACTCCAGCCTCTGACAGTTCCTCCAGCACGCCCTGTCCCCTCCGTGCCATTCCTCAGGTCCTTGTGCTAGTCCAGGCCCTCCAGACCTCTACTCCTTAAAAACTTACTTTTTTTTATTAAACTTCTTATTGAAGTATGACTCACTCACTCTCAATATTTAAATGCCAGGGCCACTAAGTGCTTTTTCACACCTCCATCGATTCCCTTAAGAATCAATCATTCCCTTAGGTCTAGGTCAGGTCCCTAGTACATGCTCACAGCACTCCACAGTTCTCCTTTGAACACAGTCAAATAAAGCATTCCCTGTACATCCAGGATAGACAACATCTTTTCTTGTAGGTAAGATTCATGACGGTAGGGAGTGACCTAGCAAACTTTTTCTGAAAAGGGCCGAAGTGGCTTTGTAGGCTTATCAGGCCATAAAACTATTCAACTCTGTCACTGCAGCCCCAAAGCAGCTGAGACAGTAATGACTGTTTCGATAAAACTTTATTTACAAAAACAGGAGGTGGGCCAAAGAATCACAGTTGGCTGACCCTTGGTCTAAATCACCAGCCCCTTGTCTAGACCCTAGCACATGGTAGGCACTCAATGAAAGAACAGCAAAGGTTTTAGCAATTAGATGGAAGTGGGTTCCTAGGGAAGGCAGCTTTGGTGAGATGGTGGGTGTGAAACTGAGACAACTGTGGGTTGAAGAGAGAGCAGCAATTGAGGAAGTGCTAACTTCTCTTTCGAGAGTTCCATGATTGCCAAGGCTAGCATGGGGAACATTACTGTCTTAATGGGGTAGGTACTCAGAAGCATGTGTGCTATGACAAGACAACAGGGCTAGGGCAGAAAGGGGAGTACCAGAGGTAGGGGTGGGAGTTGCTCACGAAGGAAGAAACTTGCTGAGGTAGAAAAAGAAACAAGTAAAGGTGAAAGTTAGGAAGTAAGTGGAAGTCCTTGTAGCCTGCCCTGTGAGATGAGAACCAAGACTACTAGTGAAGAGATCAGGCTGAGGAGGGCAGAATCTGGCAGGATGGGCGGGCTTCGGAGGTAGGCCCGCTGCTTTTCTCTCCTTTACTCTGAGACAACACTTCTAACTGAGGTGCCGCTGGGCTCTGGGCTCTGATTCAGGGTGAATTGTGTCACTCACTGAGTCACCAGCACACTAGCTATCCTTTCCTGTCTCTTCACTTTCCCACAGAGGTACCGACAGGCAGGCCCTGAGGATGAGGTCACTCTTTCAACATGTGGACATACCTAGTTCTTTCCTGGAGGACAGTGAAAAGCATTTGAATTTCAGAGAGGAATAGTGGCTTCATCTCTACACTTTGAAAGGAGTATGTGCATGTTACAAAATACTTCTCTGCTAGGCAGAACAGAATTTTTTTTTAAGTGGAAGAAACCATTTGATTGGAAGTTTGCAATAAAAACAGCATAGCAGCCATTTAGTTTTACAAGTGTAACATAGTATGAAGCCTATAAAACTAATTTCTCACAGGAAAGTATTTGTATTATGAGATTTAATGCCCTGAAAAGTTTTCTCACTGAATCAAAAGCTTATAGCCAATTTCACTTATCCAGGGAAACAGCTGAAAAAAATCTTACACTTCAACATTAATTAACCCATTATTACTACCAGTGTGGGAACGTGTGAAAAGGGTTCAAAATGTTAGAACGCCAAGATTTCATGAAGAACTAAAACAATCCATGCATTTTTTTTTAGTTGCTGTGACTGAAAGGATGTTATTAGGATGTGTTCTTTGGTCTTATTTCAAGGTGTAATTGCTGTTGTTTATAGATTAAAGGTTCTGTGTATGTTCTTATAGTAAATACAACTTGAATCCACATTTTCATTTTGAATTTTTGCTCCTTACAAATTAAAAGCTAAAGTTCCCACCAAGCCACCAACCCTCACTGTACTTTTTCAAGTCTTTCCAGAGATGATGGGAACCAGCCTCTCGGAATCCATGACTGTGTAAAATGGAGTCGCCAAGGCCTGTAACACACTCCTGACTTGGAAGAACTTTCAATGCACCTTGAGATGTAAATTCAACAAACTTAATCTCTTACCCTATGGTTGGGTTGATGTTTGGATCAAAACTGTCTTCCACGAAACGCCACACGATACTCGATTTCCCTACACCTGTATCCTGAAAGAGAATGAGGTGGGTAAGAGAAGGTTTTCCCGCTGAGAGACACAAACTACCTACAGCAAAAGTTCAGGACTTTAGAAAACTCCCGACATCGATACATTTTAGAAGGTAAAGGATGCAAAGGAAGTTTTCACAAAACTCGGTGGGGGTAATGGGGAAACTTCTTTCAGGACATTTTGAAAGCCTCCAAGTCTCTGCTTAGTGTGAAAAGTGAGAAACCCACTTGCTTTTTAACAAGCACCAGCTAACTCTGCACTCTGGCTCGGCTGGCTTCGGGCGGTCCCTCCCGCACCCCGGCCGGCTCCACCCCACCTGGGGAGACCAGCTGTGGGATCCCCTGCGGTCCCAAAAGCGGCAGCCGAGCAGGAGGCCAGGCTCGAAGCGCAGGGCTGCGCCTCAAGACAGGGAGCTGTAGCTTCAAGCTGGCCTGAGGCGCTTCCCGACCCGAGGTCCCCCCGCACTCCCCGGAAAAGTTACTTTGCAGAGCAACTCCGCGAGGAGCTGGCGGGCGGCCCCAGCGGCTCAGACCCCCGGCGGGGCCCGCGCGACCCGGCGCCTGGCTCCCTCCCCTCGAAGACTCGGCCAGCTCCGAGTGGTACCCCGGGAAGTTGGGCGGAAACTATTTAAGGGCGACTCTCAGCCCCGACGCGGGGAGACTGAGGGGCGGGAAGCCCCCCGGGCGCCAGGAGGGGGCAGGGAGGGGGTCCCGCGCGCGCCGGCCCGTCCGCAGGGAGCGCGGGGTGCCCCGGCCCGGCGGGCGGGGGTCGGCGGGACGGGGGGCGCCGTCCCGCTCGGGGGCCGGGGCGCCCGGGTCGTCGGCCCGCCCCCCTCCCGCGACCCCTCACGTCCGTCACTCACCCCCAGCAGACACACTTTGAGCTCCCTCAGCGCCATGGCCCGGGAGCCGGGGGCGCGGGCCCGCCGCCGCCCTAAGTTGAGGAGGGAGAGGCCGGGCCCAGCACGAGCATCCCCCGGCGCCGCCGCCGCTCGGCCCGGCCCCGGCTGCGGGGCGCACAGACGCGGCGGCCGCCCGCTCGCCGGCTCTCGGCCCGGCTCGTCGGCCGCCAGCCGCGCGGGGCCCGCCTCAGCAGCCGGTACGCGGCCGCGGCCTCCCAGGCGCCGCCGCCGCCGCCATCTTGAGACGCCGGCCGGGTCACCTGACCTCCCCGCCCACCTCGGCCGCCACCTTCGCCTCGGGGCGGGGCCTGGCGCCCGAGGCCCCGCCCAGGCCCCGCCCCCGCGCGCGGCCCCGCCTCCAGGCCCATCCCAAGATGGCGGGTGAGTGGGGCCGGGCCCCCGGGGTCCGGGCGTCCCCTCCCCCCTCCCGCCGGGACCACCCCGCGAGGCGGGGGACCCCGGCCCGCCATCGAGCCCGCCCGCCTCGGCCCCCCGTAACTCGGTGTGTCTCTTGGTTTTCAGAGATCCCCCTGTACTTTGTGGACTTGCAGGATGACTTAGACGACTGTAAGTAACAGTTGGGGCGCCCCGCCCCTCCCTGGGGCCTCCCAGTCAGTGAAGGGTCCACGGAACGTGAGTGGGGAGCTACAGGCTCGGTCCTCCAAGTTGGGGCCAGAAGAGCGGTCCCCTCAACTGCCATCGTCACTCGTGGCGGTCCCTCCTCTGGGGCGGGGCTGGCTGAGGATGGGGAGCCCAGGTTTGGGGGGTGTGTGTGTAGATTTTTGTTGTTGTTGGGAAACTTGGGACTCCCTGTCATTTTCTTTCTCTTCATCCTCTTCAGACTATCGTGGGACGAGAGGGCTGGAGGGATAGTCCGTGTTTGGGGTGGGAGGAGGGGAGGCCACTTTGGGGGGGAGCTCCCACCTCTCCGTGGGACTTTTCAGGTTGCTGGGAAGTTGGGCGTCCCTGCTCTGCCTGTGGCTTGCCATAGAGTTGCACAGACATCTCAGTTGTCCAAGCTCCATGTCTTATCCCGAGGAGCCCCTGGGTGCTCGGCTTTCATGGGTGGGCCTCTTGTCCCTTTTGGCCTTCTCCTTTTGGTTGGAATCACATTAAGGGGTGATGGCGGGGCAGATGTCATCCTGGAAATGAAGCGTTTCCTTTCCATACAGCAAACATTTCTTGAGCACCTGTTTGTGCTGGACCAGGCGATGTGCAAAACCCTGGACCTGCAAACATGGGCTAGAAGCAGACGCAGCTGCCCTGGCACTCACCTCCCAGGGACTCAGATGTGTAAACAGAAAACCGGCAGACCCAGGGGCACTTGTTGGACACTCACATTAAGGTCGATGCTCTTGCCTTCCCCATCTACAAGTTTCCTGATAATCAAGAGTTGGTGTTTATTGAAAACTAACCATGGTTTGGGCACAGTTTTAAATCCTTTCCAGGCCAGCTCTTCTAGAGGGAGACAACTTAATGCAAGTGGATGACCGGTGAAGGGACAGTGCAAGCTGGTGGCTAGGAACGTGGGTTCTGGAATCCAATGTCCAGAAGGTGAAGCCCTGTGCACTATCTCCTGGCTGAGTGAGCCTGGCCAAGACACTGAGCTACCAGGAGCCTCAGCGGCCTCCTCAGTAGTGGCATGAAGTGGGCATAATAGTGGCTCACCTCAAAAGGCATTTTTTTCCCTCCAGGAGACTTTAGTGAACGTAAATAAATGAAAAGTTTAGTGCAAATCTTCATACATAGTAAACATTTGGTAAATGTTAGCTGCCACTGTTGTCACTGTTAATATGATCATTAATATTTATTCTGCTGAGCCAGGTACAGCGTGGGCCCCACTTCCCAGACTGGCTGAGCCAGCGGGCATGCTGGAAAGGAAGGAATGTAACCTTTCTCTTGTCAGACAACAGTGAAGGTGCCTCTCATTCTAGATTTCATGTTTCACCTGACTAGAAAAGCTGATTTCTGACTGTTAACAGTTATCCGGCAAACCACCCCAAAACTCACTGACCGAAGCCATTAGCATTTTATTCTTTCTAAGAATTCTGTGGGTGGACTAGGTGATACAGAAGCTTATTGTCTTATCAGTTGAACTCTGGGGAAGCAGAAAGGCCCAGAATGGCTCTGCTCATGTGGGTGGCAGGGATGCGGGTTTCTGGCCAGGTCCTGGTTCTCATCCACGTGCCTTTCCCACTGGGCCAGGCTGGGCTTCTCAATGCTTCATGGCCACAGACACTCGGACCTCTTTCCTGGGGGCAAGCTTCTTAATGGTCTGTTTTGTGTATAAGTACAAAAGAGAGGTAAGAGATTACGTAGGAAAAAATAGTGATGTCACTTGGGCCCTGTATGAGCGAGTGTTGGGTGTTTTAGACTTGTAACACAGAAGGAAGGCCTTATGTACTCTTTTGCAAATGGCTGAGGGCTTGCCCCAGTAAAGAAGTCAGCTGCCATCATCACTCCAAACATACTCATGCCTGGGGCAGGCAACTTTGGGATCCTCCTGGGGCTTCCTGTTTGGATGGGGTGGAGGCTAATGACTTTACAAAAGAATTCATTCAATGTCCTTAATAGGAGAGCCTGTCCGCCCGCCCTTGGGCCCCAACTTTCCCCCTTTCTGTGGTGGTGTATGAGAGACATGCCATGATTGACAGCCAGAACTCTAAGGTCCTGTAACCCACTTCCTGCCTTGATCTGTGTCAGCTTGACCAGATCAATCAGTCAGTTTCTTCATCTGGAAAACAGCATGAGAATGGAAGATACCTCGTAGGACTGATGTGAGGGTTAAATAAGGTAATACACAAAGATATGTTTGGTGTAGCACTATATAGTCAATGATTTGTCTTTTAAAGATTTATTCTTATTTATTTATGCATACAGGAACTGGGGTGCAGGCCAGAGGTGATTGGGAGGGGTGAGAGGATTCACCAGAGACAGAGTGGGGAACAGAACAGGTGGATCTACTGAAATGTACTGCTGAGGGGGGCAGTGGAAAGACAGGAGACGTCTGCTGCGCCCTGTGGGTAGCTCCTTGGCTGGGGATCAAACTCAAGCCTCAGCAGTGATAGCACTGAGACTTACTCTCTATGCCACGAGGGAGGCCCATAGCCAGTGATTTTATTACTGTGATTTTCATCATCTTCATTGCTAGGCTCTCATGAAAGATCTTTTGATTCAGTGTTAACAGCTGCTGCTCTGAGAGGTAGGTTGGATTATTCCTTATTTACAAATGATGAAACTTAGACTCAGAGAGGTTAAATTATTTAGCCATTTTGGCACAGCTCATGAAGGATGGAGATGGCAGTCAAACTCTGCTCCTGCTGACTCTTCTTATACTCCCGTGCCCCCCACATCAACCTCACAAATATTCTTATTCCAATGTTTGGAGCATGGAGACTGGTTTGGGTGGCTCTTTGTGTCTTTGTTCCCCTTAGGCTGGCGCGTCTCCATGACACGACAACCACTCCATCTAGCCTGCAATTCCCACTCCATTTAGCCTGCAACTCGCATGGGTAGGGACATGGGTCACCTTTTTATAACTCAATGCCCTGCATGATCTAGGTGCTCAGTTAATGTTGTTACTGGTAACACTAATGGATTACGAGGCTTGTGCGATTTACTTTGTGATTCTTGATTAAATTTGGCTAACTTCAAAAAGAAGCCATAATGAATGGATGCCTTGTTTTTAAAATCATTTAAGAGTCCTCAGGCCATCACAGCACAGACGAGATTTAATTTTAGAGAATTAGCCTGCTGAAGCAATCGAAATTCTTTCTCTTGACAGCAGATCATGTGTGCGACCACCTGGCACATTGGTCCCTGTGCAGGTGGAATGTGCGGGGGCTGGATGAGTCTGTGCCACTGGGACTTGCAGGATCTCAAAGGTCTGGATTTGCTTACAGCCTGTGGAGGTTGAAGAGGTATTCCTCTTGGCAAGGCGTGCTTAGCCAATTTGAATTTAAATGCATGCCAGCGGTAGGTTAAAAAAAAAAAAAGAATCTGCTGCAGATATAAAAAGACCTAAGCGACCTGGCTACAAAATACAATATGTGGTCATATTTGAATCCTTAGCTGAACAAACCAGCTATGAAAAGACATTATTGAGACAGTTGGGGAGAATTGAACTTGGACTGCATATTAGATTATATTAAGAATTATTATTAGTTTTGTTGAATATGATAGTGGTGTCACAGTTTTGTGGGAAGGAGAAGGGCCCTGTCGAACAGAAACAAGTATTTATAGGTGAAGGTATTTGACATGTGAGGCCTGCTAAATACTATAACAAACAATAAACAAACACAGAGTTGGGAAGGGGAGGGTAGATAGAAAATGGCAGATAGATGGAAATTGACCCTTGTTAAAGCTGGTTCCTGGGAACGTGGGGTTTTATGTTGCATATGTTCAAAAATACCCATAAGACTAAGTTTTAAAAAATTGAGACAGAGGTTTCATGTATCACCCAGTGTCTGCCCAAGAGTTGGAAAGTTAGATTTCAATTCTGAAGTTGGATGCAAAGTTATTGTAAGATTAATTTAGCTTTGAAAACTCTGACTCATAGACTCCATTAGTATCTGGGGAGCAGTGTATTGCCTTTCAGATGTTTAGTTTTGAGGAGGTATTCAGAGAGAAGTTAGAAGAGGGTGTTCTTCTATTGATGATCAAAGATAAGGGCCAACAGATGGTGTCTGGACTGTTGTTGAAAATAGGATTCGCTAAGTCAGGACCATAGACAGACTCTTCACGTTGGAATGCTGGAGGCGTAGGGGTGTTCAAGCTTGAATAAAAGACACCCTCCAGAGCACAAGCATTCATGTCACCTGCCACTTGGTTCCAGGTTTGTAAAAAGTGTTTTGTTCAAGGACGCGAGTCTAACCAGTGTGTCTCCAAAGCAGAGAATCTAATAATTTGATCTGTAAACTACACCATTGAACTTTTTCTCTGAACAATCCTGTAAACTTGAATCAAAGGCTTTCAATTAAATAAAAGCATAAAAACCTGCCTGCCGAGTGAAAAAGTTTGCACAGGGCCAGGCACTCCTTGGGCATACTCCTCCCGGGAAGCAGAGTGGCATCCCGATGTCAAGCTGGTCTCTGAGACAGGCATGGGCACTTTTCTCCTGTCACCGATCGGATAGTAAATATTTTAGGCTTGTGGCCCAGGAGGTCTCCGGCTCCGCCGCCGCCTCTGCCCTTGCAGCCCGTCCGGGCAGGCCTGGGGCAGCTGGGTCCACAGAACACAGGCAGCGTGTGAACGGAGCCCGGTTTCATTCCCCAGCGCCTGTGAGTGGCCGTTGGCCGAGCCCAGCCGACGTGCTGTCTTTCACTCCAGGTTTGGTTTGGGAGCGGCGCTGTTCGCTAGCATCACCTCTGCTCTGTTGACTCACCCTTGACAATGCACTCGATCTTCAGGTCTTTTTTGTTGGTGTGTTGGGATAAAAACTGGTGCCTGAAGGGACTGTGGCGATAGACTGGGTGCTTTGGTGCTGGGAGAGCTACGGGGACCGCACCTGAGTGGTGAAGTCATGTACTGGCCCAGAATAACAACGATGGAAGAAAAAAGTACTTCAT